TAGATGTATAATGTTGTTGTAGTATGTTATCATCATTAGGATATCAGAGACCTTCATATGTACAGTAATCATAGAAATAGAGTATTAATTTTGTACAGCAAAAACATTCGGAATCACTAGTCATTTCGGTGCGAATTCTGGATTTCACTATACCCAAGGTAAAACTTGTAATTATCACATGACACCATCATTGAACTCAACACACCTGACTTTATCAGTAATGCACACCTTCAAATTTGATATGGATCAGACTTTGAAAAAAAAACAGCAGAAATTTGGTACCGATCATCAATCTTTGTCAGTCAACATTTTTTGGTGTTGTTTCCCTTTTAATGACCTTTTTTTTTACCATATTTTGGACATAATACTATTTATAGATACAAAAAACTATGAATTATAAATAGATAGAATAAACTATAAATTATAAATAGATAGAATAAAAACTATATTATAGAGAGATAGAATAAAAACTATATTATAGAGAGATAGAATAAAAACTATATTATAAAGAGATAGAATAAAAACTATATTATAGAGATATAGAATAAAAACTATATTATAGAGAGATAGAATAAAAACTATATTATAGAGAGATAGAATAAAAACTATATTATAGAGAGATAGAATAAAAACTATATTATTGAGATATAGAATAAAAACTATATTATAGAGAGATAGAATAAAAACTATATTATAGAGAGATAGAATAAAAACTATATTATAGAGAGATGAATAAAAACTATATTATAGAGAGAGAAAAATTTTAAAAGAATTTACAAATTATCAGCAAGACGAGATCTGTTTTGTGGAAAAAAAACTATATAGATGTAATGACAATGTACAACTGAAATGAATCAGTAAATGATTGAGATCAGAAAAGTCTCAAATTCCCAAGGTCTTAGAGATAAGGTTTAGAAAGGTCATATGTTTATGTTCTCCTAGTTATCGTTGCCATCTTACAATATCTTTTTCTTTTTGATAAACATGACTTATTTTTATTTGGATTTTTTCTAAACTATTTTGTAAAATGTAAAATAAAATAACACCTTTCTTAATTAGCTCTTAATGCACCTTACACCTGGAAACCTGGTAAATGAAACTTCTTGTTTAATCATCCCTGCATGTCTAGTACATCAATATAAAACCATTTTATTCACAAAGTATCAAGAACTAACCTGGGTGGGATAACTAACATGATACTTCCTAAATAGGTTGTCTGGAAGATGTGTGAATGAATGAATGAATGAGATAATAATAGAGAGCAGAGAGACAGATATCTTAAGGGTATTGTGTACTGTTCTGTGGAGGGAAGTTATTTAGGAATGTTTATAATTCTAGTAATTTTCAGAACAGTTTGGTATTTCTGAGCTAGGAAAAATTTACTATTCAAAGAAAAATTGGTTAATGTCAAATTTAGAGTCAGATTAAATGTATAACTGTTCCAGTAGATTTTAAAGTCAATATTAATGAATTTATTCAATTTTTGTTTTGTGTTTAGCTTTCATAATTTTTTTTTTTTAATTTTCATAACTTTTTCTTCAGACCAGTTATTTATAGGTTTTTATTTTAGTATAGATGCTGTATTATGAACATCGTTCTGAAGGGCATGACTCTGACCTTGACATCCTTGATCAATCTTGAGGGTCTCCTCTTTGAATATGACCTTAAAAATCATCCCATAGTGCCATATCTATTTACATAGACTTCATGGTAAATTCTATAAAACCTGGTTAAGTCAAATGGTCCACTCCATGATGACAACCTGAACAAATTAAAAACCAGTGGCATTTGCCTTACTTGTTTCTTTTTATTGACATAATTGGTTAACATTACAATAATTACGACGGAGGAGCCAAAATTGTGTAAACATACAACACAACTGACTTAAAAATTCACACACTAAAAATTCACACACAAAAAATTCACACTAAAAATTCACAACGAATTCACACACAAAAAATTCACACAAAAAATTCACACACTAAAAATTCACACACAACGAATTCACACACAAAAAAATCACACAAGCAAAAAAATATGACAGGCACCAACAAAAAAAGTTCTTGGAGTTGACAGTACAGTAAAGTAAAACATAATGACATATACACTGGTAAAAAATAATTTGTCCCTACAGTTGGCGCAGTAGATACCTCCGCTTTATCTGACTGCATGACGTCCATACTTGTTTTATTTAAGAACTTACAATTGTCCAGTGAAGGTTATAGTTGTAGAGGTGTTTAGATCTCTTGTTAGTACAAGTTTCAGTACTTCTCTGTCACTAGTAATACTGAGAATAAAAGTCACTACAACTGAGCTTTTCCTGCATACGATTGGTTTCCTTACATTACTTGGTATTTTATGCAAAAGTCTATACTTTTTTAATATTTTGGTCAGTAGTTTTTTCCCTGAAAGCTGAAAGTAACATTTCATTGAGATATTTTATTGGGACTGATTCAAACACAAAACATTGCAGATTTGTGATAAAAAATAACATAAAATTCGTTTTTATTATTTCATGTTTGTTAATTAATATCAAAAGTAACCTGCAATATATTTAATTTTAATTTGAAGTAATGTGTTGGAAAGATGGTCTCTGATAATTTGGTGGTGAGAAACATTCTACTTTTATATAAAAAAAAAAAAAAAAAAAAATATAAAAAAAAAAAAAAAAAAATACACTGTAATAAATATGTATAATTAATAGTTTTTTTTCAGGTATTTTAATCCTTTCTTCAGTTTAATTTCAGAATGTTTCTGATAAACTGGATAGTGGTTGAGAAACACAGAACATCATCAGGATTTTGATGAAATCGTGATGAAGTAATGGATACATTATTTTCATGGGAAGGCGGAATTGAATGATATCGTGATGAAGTAATGGATACATTATTTTCATGGGAAGGCGGAATTGAATTATATCGTGATGAAGTTATGGATACATTATTTTCATGGGAAGGCGGAATTGAAATATATCGTGATGAAGTAATGGATACATTATTTTCATGGGAAGGCGGAATTGAATTATATCGTGATGAAGTAATGGATACATTATTTTCATGGGAAGGCGGAATTGAAATATATCGTGATGAAGTAATGGATACATTATTTTCACGGGAACTTTCCTATTAAATATTTTGAATAAAAACATCAAAATTTATTAAATTGTAAACAAAATCACCAAAATTTTATTAATTTTAACAATAAAAACAAAATTTGTTAGATTTCAAACAAAATTTGTTAATTTTTAATTTTTTTTTTATTAAATTTCAAACAAATCACTAAAATTTATTAAAGAAGCATTAAAATATATCCATGTAATTGTTGATAAAGAGTAAAAATGCTTTTTTAAAGACATAACTAAGTAGTTATCTTTTTCTGAATTAAAATAAATAACTGTTCATTTTTTCCAAATTTGAATAAATAACCATTCCATTTCCTAAATTTAGATATCAAACTTTAGCTCACAATAACCAAATTAGTTTGAAAATTTTAATTTTCAGTGTTTCACTGAGATTTGGACTTCCAACAACTTGAATTTAACAATACTGCATTATTAAAGGGTATTATTGCAACATGAATACATTACTTACTTTTTTTAAAAATGTTTAAAAATTGAACACTAGCAAGTCAGTAGAACATTACCTATGAACTAGACATGAAACCCAATCACCATACCCAATCACCATACCCAATCACTATACCCCATCACGATACCTAATCACAATACCCAATCACGATACCCAATCACAATACCCAATCACGATACCCAATCACAATACCCAAGCACGTTCACTTAGCATGACACCCACAACCATTAACACTGTATGGATAGAATAAAAGGTAAAGTTTATACTGGCTTGCTGATGTTTTCTTCTTCGTTTTCTTTAGTTATCCCCTCGCCCCACATAGCAATTAACAGCTTTATATATAGTTGACCTGGGACTGAGCTTTGGAGCAGGTTGGGTGGAATGAGGCAACGTCCAGGAACTGGAATTTAAGAGCTCAGAGGTCTTGGAGGAGAAGCCTAGGGGTCTGATGAAAGGGAGAGTGAGACTCCAGGCACTTGTATTTAAGGGCAAGAGGGTAGGGGATAGTTAACCCAAAACAAGTCCAGGGACTTATTTTTAAGGGCATGGGGGTCGGGGAGGGTTATCCCATGGGGGTCCAGGGACTTGTTTTTAAGGGCTTGGGGGTCAGGGAGGGTTACCCCATGGGAGTCCAGGGACTTGTTTTTATGGGATTGGGGGTCAGGGAGGATTACCCCATGGGATAACCCTCCCCGACCCCCATGCCCTTAAAAATAAGTAAGGGACTTTTTTTAAGGGTTTGGGGTCGGAGAGGGTTACCCCATGGGAGTCCAGGGACTTGTTTTTTCAGGGTTTTGGGGTCAGGGAGGGTTACCCCATGGGAATCCAGGGACTTGTTTTTAAGGGCTTGGGGTCGGGGAGGGATAACCCATGAAAGTCCAGTGTATTTAAGGGCTTGGAGGTCGGGGAGGGCTACCCCATGGCCTAGTGTAATAGAGATGAAGTTGCTGGGTAAGGAGGGGAAGTAAGTAATGTGTTGGTGTTGTAATTTCACACTGTTCTGATACTGTTTAGTTGCTTTAAAGTTTGTGAAGTACAAATAACCCTGTACTTTTGGATGAAATGCATTATAAATTTCAAAATAATGAACACTTCCCTTTTCTGAATTTAAATAAATAACACTTTCTGTTCTGGATTTTAAATAAATAACACTTTCTTTTCTGAATTTAAATAAATAACACTTTCTTTTCTGGATTAGAATAAATAACACTTTCTTTTCTGAATTTAAATATAAATATCACTTTCTTTTCTGGATTTTAAATAACCATTCCTTTTTCTAAATTTAAATAAATAAACCTTCCTTTTTCAAAATTTAAATAAGTAACCCTTCCTTTTTTGAAATTATAAATAAATAAACCTTCGTCTTTATTAAATTTGAATAAATAACCATTTCTTTTTTTTAAATTTGAATAAATAACCATTTCTTTTTCTAAATTTAAATAAATAACCTTCTTTTTTCTAAATTTGAAATAATGACCCCTTTTTTTTTGTGTGCTGGTGGTGTTACCACAGGTTTGTGTATGCGTCTAGTGTGGTTGGGAGTCATAGACTCTTGCACTGCCGCTGGATAGCTTATATTCATAGGTGAAAAGAAAGCTGAGTGCGTAAGTCTTTCCTTCCAGTACATAGCCTCTACACTAACAAGACTTCTACAGTGCCTCCCCGTGACAGCACATGGTAACTAGGATCTAGTGTCCTAGGCTTAACTGTAGAGGATCTCGGAGTAGCAAGGACCCTAGAGATGAAGTGTGTAGGCCGATCGACGTGCGGACATCCCTAGCACTCATCAACCTTGCCCCAGTTATGGGTTAAATAGCCGGCTGAATGATGGTCATCAGCCTTGAAAGGATGTCTAGGAGAAGAAAACTCTGATATGAAATTTTTGGTAGATTTGACTCGTCAGCCTTGGTCTGCAATTGATCTAAAGGAAAAAAAGCTTGAGTAAAGATTCTCTGGTTCTCCAGGTTTGGGATTGAGAGATATGCCAACAACCTATCCTTGTAAAAAGGAAGAATGATTATATACCAATTAATCTCCCAGATGAGGAACATCACAACCGGGTCTGCATGAAGCTTTAACATTAAAAAGACAAGGTAAATATGCATAAGGTACATATAGTAGATGTCTAGTCATTTCATTTGAGTAGTTATGATTTTGATGTATAAATTCACGTCTGGATATAGTATTACATAAGTCCACAAGATAATTAACATGGAGCACTTAAAATATTCATTGATATTCTGTTTTAGTGTAGAAAAGGGATAAATTTCTAAGGGAGCAATCTGACACTAACCAGAAAACCAGATTGAGTAAGGGGTCATCCATAATTGTCAACCATTTTCCAAAGTGTACAAAACATACACTTGGGGGGAGGGGGTTAAAAAATCAACATTTTTAAAGTACGCTTTTTTTTTATTTATCAAATAAAACAGTCATGTTTCAGTTATTTTCAATGCAAATTTCTATATTAAACTAAACTATAATAGACTTGATCTTAATTTTTTTTAAGAATGATTGAATCTTGTCTTGAAATCTGAAAATGGTTGATGTACACTTTTTAAGGGAGGATAGGGGGTCTGAAAAAGTGTATGTTTTGTACACTTTGGAAAATGGTTGACAATTATGGATGACCCCTAATATCAACCCAACAAAATGGAGAATTTTAACAATGGTGCTCCTGAAAGAATAGGAAGGGTACACAGTTCCTGCTCCACAGGTCACAATTAACAGTTATGACCAAAATATGTATTACAAATAAGAATTCATAGGTTGAAAAAAAATCATGCATAAACTAAAAATGAAAAACTATAAAAATTCACGAGAATTAGCCTAGTAAATTAAGAAGTATTATTATGCCATGTTAATTGGCACTCATACCACATCTTCTTATATCTATGTATATTTATTAGATAAAATGTTATGTATTAGTAAGTTATTAAAGTTATTATTTATTATAGTGACGTGTATCATAACATACATCTGAACAATTACATGTATATACATAGCAATTTGATATTTACACCTGGCCCATTGGACCTATATGTCACTTTAGCAATATTGTATCTAATTTATCTGTATTAACTGCTATGCTTAGATGTTGATTAATTGACTAAATTCCATATACATGTATAGATATCGAAATAAGATGTGGTATAATTGCCAATGAGACAACTGACTCCACCAGAGACTAAAAGATATATAAGTTAACAACTATTGGTCAACATACAGGCCTTCAATAAGTGTTTAAAACTATCACAGTTGATGGATTCAATTTTTTTCAGTTATCCTGGATATTTTGAAAACACGTAAATGATTTACTGAAGGAAAATCGAAGGAAAGTAGGACCTGGATGTAAAATAATACCAACTTTAAGGTATGTTTGTTGACGGTAATATTAAATCCTTGTTTCAAGGTAACATTAAAGATAATGAACGGTTCTTAAGTTAAAAAATATTGCTTCTATAATAATACAATACCCAATTACAGATATAAAAATATGAAGATGTGGTATGATTGCAATTTTGAAAACTCTCCACAAGAAACCAAATGACATATAAATTAACAGCTATAGGTCACAATTCTGCCTTCAAAAATGATTAAAAACCATACCACATAGTTTGCTATAAATGGGCCAAAAAATGAAAATTGTAAAAAAATTCAATCGAGAAAACAAACTGCCTAATTCATGTCCAAAATAATGAACAAAACAAATATGTAACACAGCAACAAACATTACCACAGCAACAAACATTAACCACTGAATTGCAGGCACATACAGAGTGTGGCAGGGTTAAACTAGTTTGAAGGCATATTGTCCTTTTCCATCAAATCTTTGGTTAAATGAAAATTTTTAATCCATGGTGCCTGAAAAAATTGACATGTTTATTTTAAACAAATCTGAAGTAAAATGTAAGTACAATGGTGGCATTTCATACTTAAGATGCCATAAGATTTAATACAGTTCTGAACTGCTTTATATGAAGAATTTCTTTAGCCTCTGTCTCCTGGTTACCCCATATATGGATAAAATGTAAATATCTTCTGACATCAACATTATATATATTATTTTGTGAATTTTAGTTTGTTTTGAATGAAATTTTATTTTCTATTTGTAGACAAAGCGTGCTTGTTAATTTAGAAATCAACTGAAGCAGAAGAATGGATTCTGTTGATCTGAGGAACTTGGAAACACTTATTGACAAAAAAAATATGTAGTAATACATTTATGTTTAAAGAGAGAGATAGAAAGAGGGGGGAGAGCCAGTTGTAAAGATTTATTCTTTTAAACCAGATATGTTGATTACATTCGAATTTCATAGGCCTACAGTTCCCCCCTAAATGGTCTTAGTTAATACATGTACTAGGTGTTTAATGTAAGACTTTGATGGGACTTGTGAGAACAATCAGCTGCCATTGGTTTAAATCTATTTTTATGCCCTTTCAGTTGGGGGGGGGGGGCATATTGTTTTACCCCTGCCCTTACGCTCTACCATCCTATTATAGGTCTATAGATATAAGAAGATGTGAAATTGGTGACAATGAGACAACTCTCCATCCAATTCACAGCTATTCCAGATAACTACTCCTAGAGTTTAATGAGTTATCTCCCATATTTGTAGGTACTTTTTGTCTCGCCTTGACGGAGTCAAAAAGCAAGACATAGGTATGCTGTTTCCGGCGTCGGCGGCGATGGCGTCAACAATGTATTAGTTTGTGATTAGGTCTAGTTTATGGTGAACCACAAGTGGTATGTCAATCATATTTGGTATGCAGTTGTATAAGCATTGGCACATCTAATTTCCATCGAGATTATTTGGCCCTGCCCCCTCAGTCATGGTCTATTGACTTCGAAACTTTTGCTTATTTTACATGTATTAGTTTGTGATTAGGTCAGTTTATGGGGAACAACAAGTGGTAGGTCAATGATATTTGGTATGCAGTTGTTTAAGCATTGCCATATCTCATTTCCATGGAGATAATTTGACTCCGCCCCCTTAGTCATGGTCTATTGACTTTGAAAATTTTTCTTAGTTATCATGTATTAGTTTGTGATTAGGTCAGTTCAAGGGGAACGATTAGTGGTAGGCCAATGTTAATTGGTAATCAGTTGTATAAGCATTGGCACATCTCATTTCCATGGAGAATTTTTTGGCCTCGTCCCTCAGTCACAGTCTAATGAAATTTATTGGCATTTGCAAGTATTGTTTCCATGGAGATTATATAGCCCCAACCACTCTTCATGGTTCATTGACTTTGAAACTTTTACATAGTTTACAAGTTAATTTGTATTTAGGTTTGGGAACGACTTATAATAAGTCAATGGTATTTGGTATGCAGTTGTATTAGCATTGGCACATCTCATTTACATGGAGATTGTTTAGCCATGTAACTCAGTCATGGTTCATTGACTTTGAATATTTGCATAACTTGTGTAAGATGTTAAAGTATGTCTATTTTGATTTCAACATTTGCATAATCAAAATTACAAAAAGGCGAGACATATCTCTGTGATAACAGTTTATGATATTTTGATATTTCCTGATAAGGATAATGCAAATAGAATATTTAACTTGTTTTTAAATATAACAAACTGAGCATAAATTGTGAGGAATGGAAACTAGCAGGCTGAGTTTTAGGGTTAAGGGGAGGGAATACACTTGTTTATCTCTTCATATGAGCTAGTTTTGTTCACTGCATGGAAGGCCTGCAATAAATTAGAATGTATTAGTTTTATATATAATTGTTATATATTTTTTGTTAGATATGCTATATAAGATGTAAATAAAGTAAGATGACAGTATTATTTAGAGCTCTGTAAATAAAATCGACTTGTAAACAGGTCTAGATAATGCATTAAGTGGATTGGTCTGACATTGGGATTTCAAATTATATTTATGTCGTCATCATCTACAAAAGTGCTTCCATTCTCAATATTATCTGATATTAAACGCCCCTTCCTCCCAATTATGACTTCATTTTAAGTTTAATGAGTTATCTTCCATATTTATAGGTACTTTTGGTAACAGTATTTCATGATAAGGCTAATGCAAATAGGAGACAACTCTTGTTTTTTGTAGAAAAGAAGATTTAACTTGTTTGTAAATTTAATGGTAAATCCTGTGACTTCGTAAATTTTTTCTTAGCTTTAAAATAATATTTAAAACCCTGTCCATGAAATTGAACATTGCTCCTCTTGATTTTAGTAAGTGAATTCTTTTGCAATAGTTTAAAAGAAATGTCAAATAGTATTTCATAATGCATTAGAAGGAATGGTATATTTTATAGAATGCTAGTATTGTTTTACTTGTATGTTTAGTGGTCACTAAAAATGTAGTATATTATTATTTGTTTTCCTATTTACTATTATCAAGTGGAATAACATCACCTAATTTACCTGTTTGCTAGTTCATAACGATTGTAAAGTTGAAATTTCTGTAACAATTAAACACCTATAATTCTTCCCTACAATGTACGAGTTTTTTTTAAAGCAGGGTGTATTTTTTTTCAATATTGCCATATTCTTATGTCTTAAGTAGCAGTATTATATAAGGTGATTGCTACATAAATCATTTCTCATTTTAATAAATAACATTTATTTGAACTTATTTATGTTTCTTTAAAATATTATTAAAATAATATTTTGTTCCGCTTTTTAGAAATAATCTTGTTTCAGTTATTTTGTGAGGAAGAGTTTTGAGTTTAAATCCCTGGCTGGGTCAGACCACACAAGACTAAAAGCTGGTATTTGCTTGTAATAATATTTCAGGTTATATTTATCCCTTCAGAATAACATTTTAGGGTATAGTGATTCTATAGATATAAGAAGATGTGGTATGAGTGCCAATGAGACAACTCTCCATCTGCTGAATTATGTTTTGGGGTATGGCGATTCCTGTCGATTTTGAGGTTCACTTTTAATTCAATGGTAATCATTTCGAATTGTTTTTTTTTCGTTTGTTTTTTTTACATAGATCAGGCCATAATGGTTTCTGCATTTGAAATTGTATCATGTTTTGTTATATTGGCACCTCTTACAACTTGCTTACAGTGACCTATAGTTTTTAACACCTACATCATGAAATAAGTACCTACTAATTTGTACTACTAGTATATAGTAATAACACTGTCTGTCATCTGACATTTGTGTAACCTCGGATCAAGAATATCAGGACCTGTTATGTTTTATGCACAGTATACCTTTAAAATGAAGGTACATTGTCATTAGACAATAATCAACATTTGATAGTTATTTCAAAGCTATGTGGAGGTAATCTGACTAGCATTTGTATTACATAAATGTGACAATTTTCATGCAAAGACTTGCAAGGCAAAAAGATTAAGATACCATTAGTTATTATCGTTTATTGGGAAAGACTGTACTTTGACATTTTCATAGCTTTTTTTTGGTTTTACTCTATTGTTGAGTTACTGTCACATTGTATTTACCCAAAACGTGACATCTTCTTGAAGCCTTTTGAAAACCTTCAAGGAAACCAACTAAAACTGGACTACTTAGTACATTTGAACTTGTATAAAAAAAATATTTCACTTCTTGCCACAGGAAACTTGGATGCAATGTTTTTATCTTATTATTGTGGTAGGTTTTTCATTAGTTATTTTATAAACATAATATAACTTATCATACTTGATTACATGTATGGGAAGTTAAGTCGCCATCTGTGTTTAGGGTTCACAGATACTATACCTCCCATTTAGGTATAGTAACGTCCCCACCATACATATCAAGTATCTGCTAGTATTGGTATGAACTGAGGGAGATAGATCACTCAGTTGGACCCTGACCGTCAGACCAAGGGTGACTTGGTCAGACTGCGACCAAGTCATGGTCTAAACCTTTTCCATAGTACCATGCATGAACTGAGTGAGATCGATCACTCAGTTGGACCGTGACCAAGGGTGACTTGGTCAGACTGCGACCGAGTCACGGTCTAAGTACCATACATATCAAGTATCCGCAAGTACTGGTATGAGACCGAGTGGCATGACTTGGTCAGACTGTGTACCATGTATCCGCTTTACTGGTACAAGTTTGGCAGAGCCCCGTGGCTATGTCAATATGTTTTTATCCAAATTTTAATTTGGGATGTTTTTAATTTTTATTCAAATTTTTATTGGGGATGTTTTTATCTTTTTATCCATATTTTAATTGGGGATATTTTAATCTTTTAATCAAATTTTTATTTTGGATGTTTTTATCTTTTTATCCATATTTTAATTGGGGATGTTTTTATCTTTTAATCAAATTTTAATTGGGGATGTTTTTATCTTTTATTCAAATTTTAATTGGGGATGTTTTTATCTTTTATTCAAATTTCAATTGGGGATGTTTTTAACTTTTTATCCAAATTTTAATTGGGGATGTTTTTATCTTTTATTCAAATTTTAATTGGGGATGTTTTAAATTTTTATCCAAATTTTATTTGGGGATATTTTTAACTTTTAATCAAATTTTTATTGGGGATGTTTTTATCTTTTATTCAAATTTTAATTGGGGAGGTTTTTATCTTTTAATCAAAATTTTAATTGGGGATGTTTTTATCTTTGATTCAAATTTTGATTGGGGATGTTTTAAATTTTTATCCATATTTTAATTGGGGGTGTTTTTAACTTTTTATCCAAATTTTAATTGGGGATGATTTTAACTTTTTATCCAAATTTTAATTGGGGATGTTTTTATCTTTTATTCAAATACTAATTGGGGATGTTTTTAACTTTTTATCCAAATTTTAATTGGGGATGATTTTATCTTTTATTCAAATTTTAATTGGGGATGTTTTTATCTTTTATCCATATTTTAATTGGGGATGTTTTAAATTTTTATCCAAATTTTAATTGGGGATGTTTTTATCTTTTATTCAAATTTTAATTGGGGATGTTTTTATCTTTTATTCAAATTTTAATTGGGGATGTTTTTAACTTTTTATCCAAATTTTAATTGGGGATGTTTTTATCTTTTATTCAAATTTTAATTGGGGATGTTTTAAATTTTTATCCAAATTTTAATTGGGAATATTTTTAACTTTTAATCAAATTTTTATTGGGGATGTTTTTATCTTTTATTCAAATTTTAATTGGGGAGGTTTTTATCTTTTAATCAAAATTTTAATTGGGGATGTTTTTATCTTTTATTCAAATTTTGATTGGGGATGTTTTAAATTTTTATCCATATTTTAATTGGGGGTGTTTTTAACTTTTTATCCAAATTTTAATTGGGGATGATTTTAACTTTTTATCCAAATTTTAATTGGGGATGTTTTTATCTTTTATTCAAATACTAATTAGGGATGTTTTTAACTTTTTATCCAAATTTTAATTGGGGATGTTTTTATCTTTTATTCAAATTTTAATTGGGGATGTTTTTATCTTTTATCCATATTTTAATTGGGGATGTTTTAAATTTTTATCCAAATTTTAATTGGGGATGTTTTTATCTTTTATTCAAATTTTAATTGGGGATGTTTTTATCTTTTATTCAAATTTTAATTGGGGATGTTTTTAACTTTTTATCCAAATTTTAATTGGGGATGTTTTTATCTTTTATTCAAATTTTAATTTGGGATGTTTTTATCTTTTATTCAAATTTTAATTGGGGATGTTTTTAACTTTTTATCCAAATTTTAATTGGGGATGTTTTTATCTTTTATTCAAATTTTAATTGGGGATGTTTTAAATTTTTATCCATATTTTAATTGGGGATGTTTAAAATTTTTATCCATATTTTAATTGGGGATGTTTTAAATTTTTATCCATATTTTAGTTGGGGGTGTTTTTAACTTTTTATCCAAATTTTAAATTTGGAATGTTTTTAACTTTTTATCCAAATTTTGATTGGGGATGTTTTTATCTTTTATTCAAATTTTAATTGGGGATGTTTTTATCTTTTATTCAAATTTAATTGGGGATGTTTTTAACTTTTTATCCAAATTTTAATTGGGGATATTTTTATCTTTTATTCAAATTTTAGTTGGGGATGTTTTAAATTTTTATCCATATTTTAATTGGGGGTGTTTTTAACTTTTTTATCTAAATTTTAATTGGGGATGGTTTTTTTAATTTGTTAAATGGGTCAGGTTTTTTCATATTGGCTGTATAAGTCATGCTTTAGTCAAATCAGAGACTCTAAAATTGGTACTCCGAAAGGAAGAGACTGGTGGTCACTGCGGCCATTTGTTTCGGTGAACTAGCACCTTAAAGTCCAGATAACTCTCAGGCCAGCTGGCTAGTACATTAGCAGACAGGTACTTTTGTACCATTTGGCATTTTTAAAACTTTTGGCAATTTTTACTTTAGACTATTTTTTTTTTTCATTTTTTTTTTAAATATTTTTTAAATATTTTTTAAATATTTTTTACACCTTTCAATTAAATATATATTTTGGCTGCAAAATGGTTATCCAAGGATAATTTCTTCAAATAAAATTTACATCACACATTTTGGCTCATTGTAACTTTGGCTGTTACCTTAATTTTAAAAATAATGATAACCATTTAATATTGAAATAAAAACTACAACTCCAAATTAGCTCAATATTAAAAAAAAACATGAAAAGTTTAGATCTTCTTTTCAGTATTGAAATTTTTCATTCTTCCATGCCTGGTACTTCATGATTAAAATCTTTTCATCAACTAACACTTTCATGGGGATATTTAACACACAGAGTAGGCTAATATAGGTGGTTAAGGTTGATATGGATAAGAGAGAAATGGAGGGAGGATGAGGGTAAATAATGAGAGTGGTATGTATGGATATATGTTCTATAGGGAGAAAAAGGAAAAATTGAGTAGATGAGGGTAATATTGAGAGTTGTATGTAAAGTAGTTAGGGAGAGAATGTTAATTTCTTTATAAGGGCTTGATGTACTGGTCTAATGGAAGTGCAGTTTTCTTTTTTCTCTTGTGTAGTTCTTATTTTCTTCAAAAATCTGGAGTAAACATTTTAACTTCTAAAAGTACTGCTGTCAAAAATTAACAAGTTAACAGCCTTTTTTGTTACTGATTATGTGCTGCTTATATATAAACATTGTAGCACTTCTCAGTGACTTGATAGGGTTGCAGCTTTTCATCAATTTTAACAGCATTATCTTACAGTTATAGATACAGTGATCAGCACACTTACACTATATTAATGTTTCTTTTATTCTGAGAAAATTTGCTTTCCAGTCTTATATAAATTTCTTGGTCTAATGTTTCTTCTGTATCTTTGCTGTCATGTTTGTAGTTCATTATCATCATATGCGTTTTATCAGTCTTAGAATGCTGAAATTGTGTGTAGGGTGTACTTCACAAGCAACATACAAAATGGGTCACTAAGCCATTCTATAATGGCATACATCATTTTATATCCAAGCCTCTTTTAAACTTTTTAAAAACAGCTTTGGTACTCCTGTCAGTGTTTGAAGCACAGCAAAGTGGAACTAGACTCTAAAATTGGTATATACTGGTTCTTACGCTAAGCATGCTGGTGTTTGGAGTCGAAATATTGAGTCTGGGATAGGGTGACACATTTCCATTAGGACTTTCTTGTGAACTTGCATGTTAAAAAAATTCACATCATCTTTTTAGCTGGGCGAGGTGAGCTTTT